TATAAAAAGACTGGGGGAGACCAAAAGTGGAAGACAAACATCAAAACAGTACGAATATTGTTGAACAACTTAGAAGAAATAGCAATGATCAATCTAAAAACATCTTCTAATGAGTCCTCTATTCTGGATCAAGATCCCTCCGGTGCATTTTTCCTCAAAGAGCTTTCAATGTCAGATCATTCATCATAACTTGTGCGACAACTTACATAAAAATGGATTCCGCTTTCTTATATTAAGAGAAAATATAAGGAGAGAATCTGTACTTCTGACCATCTTCATCTTCATCTACAGAGCATTTCATTGTGAATTGGCCATGACAACTTTCATCCAGTTAGACACTGGTTTTAGAGAGAGAGAAAGGTTTTGCTAGAGGTTTCTTGCTTACATGAAATTAAAGACTCAAATCCCCAAAAAAATACAACCCATTAGTATATAATTTATCTTTTTCATGAAGTTTAAGACAAGAAACTAGAAAAATGTCAACTTCTAGAAAGAAACTAAGAAAAATCTATGAATTTTTTTTTTCTTGACTTTGATTGGTTTTCCATCCCTGATTTAATGCCCATTTCAGGTTGGCTTAAACTACCCATTGAGTAATCAATTTCTGCCCAGTTTTCTTTTTCTTTTTGGGTTTTTCTTGGGGAGGGGGGGAGTGGTTGATGTTATTTTTATATCTTGGAAGCTTAAAGGGTGGAAGCAACTTATAGGGACCATGAAGAGCATGTGCTCCAAATACAGGTATCTGTAGCACTGCTCTAATAATGTTGGGGACAGAATCTGAGTACCAGTTGAATTTGGGGAATATGATTAATTATGTTAGATGTAAGTCAGCATCATTCACTATCTCCCCATTACTAACAGAATGTTTTGGAGACAACTTTAAAGGACCATTACTACCAAAATTTTATCTGTATCACCAGGGCGGAACCAAAAATTTATGTGAGGGATGGTGACTTCAAGTATAAACATATCACCTTGCCTATTATTCTTGAAGAAGATGAAAATAATAGATAGAGTGATGGGACAAAAATAAAATGGAAAACGAGACATGAAGAAAGGTGATAGACACAGTTCAAGGGATAAATTGTTTCGTTTGATTACAATCTTTAGGGAAATCAAAATTAGCTAAGTTTTTGACATCATTTCATATTGAACTAAGTTTTCCGAGTTCAATTTGATCTATTTCTGATATTCATTTTGCTTCGTCTTTAAATTATTGTCATACGATGATACGAAGGAACTTTTTGTGCGTGTGAGGGTTGGGGGGGGGGGGGTCGAAGAAGCAACTTATGCTGCAAAACATATAGTAGTAAGAACAAGGGACAAGCAAGAATATACTTCACCTCTTATAGAAAAACCTATCAAATTAAACTCAACATGTTTTGAAGTATTCTTTGCTTGCACACCCCCATGTGTTCTCAGTTTTAAAAACTACCCACTTGTATCAAACTTCAAACAAACCAATCAAAGAGAATTTGAGGCAGGCAACACTCTGCAGCCAGCTCAGGAATCTCAGTTTCAATTTGTTCTTCAAATGATGCAAAATATATATCATACTTGCTCACAATTTGAACCTACTTAGAGAGATAAAAACCAACAATGCCAACAGTTATTTGAAAAGCCTTCATGCATAAACACAAACAACAGTTATAGATGTCGAATAAGGTTGTTCACTGTTTATCTCTCCTTATAAATATGAGTATCATGCATCGAGTATGCCGGTTAGAGGAGCCGTGGTGGTCCCCCCGGACTAATCTGATCCCAAAAGTGAATTGAAAGTTAGATTTACATTAGATCTCACTTGAATAATCTCATCTATCCTAATTAGGAGAAATTTGGTTTCAAACCCCAGTTGGAAGAGGAGTATGTCATGTTAATGTGCTTAGAATGATCCACATCTCAAGGTCATGCACCCATGGGCACATCTTTTTCTTTTGAGATGCACCAATCGAAAAGAAAATTTTTGAAAATAAAAATAATATTTCTGCAGTTTGATCATCTTGAAGGTGGGTTAGACTTTTTTCAGAATTCTTTTAATAATAATGTCATATTCTGTGTGACTTTAGAGAATTAAAAATAAAATAAAACCTTCTGATTTTTTTATAACTACAGCAGAGAAATATTTTACAACCATGATGCCCTTGCAAGATGAGATCCACATAAATTTAAACCTCATTGATTAAGTTCCTAATCTATTAATTAGTTGCATGTGTGACCTAATTATTATAAATATTTTTTTACTTCCCAGTATAGTGAGCTACCATTGACTAGTTCCTAATATATAAAAACCAACCACTCAAAGTCATGGAGCGTGCTGCATCGATCCATGCTAATGGACTAGTTAATTAATTTTAACATAATTAATTCAATTAGTTTGCCATGTTAAATTAATTAATTATTCAAGTGAGATGCTTCCATGAACCACTTCTGGGGGAAATTCAAGGATAATTTTTTTTTAAAATAAAAAAAATAGGAACCAATGTACAAATAAACTAGATTTAAAAGATTCGAGTAATCAGAGAGAAATCGAGCTATCAGATAGAAATCCCTAGAAATATTTGTGTGACCAAAAAATACAATTAATTTAGCCCCAAGAATACAATGCTACAGTAACCAAAATTTTTTTGGGTATTGTATCGTCATATACAACTTCTCAAGTAGATTTTGTAAAATTTTAATTTTTTGAGATTTTACGATCGATCCTAACAATTTTGGATCGGTCACAAACCCTCCAAAAATTATAATTTCAACTCTAAAAAATGTAACATGATCCCAAATATTATAATTTTGTGGGTAAAAATTATAGTTGGTCTTTGAACTTTATCTCAGTCGCTGAATTTTTAACTATCTCAATTTAGTCTCTCAACTATTAATTTTGTCCCAATTAATTCCTTTCGTTCATTTACACCATAGATCAACTGTAAAATAGATCAGATTTGGCTAATCTTCGATTGATCTAAGTTGAAAATGGATGGAAGGATTTAATTAAGATGAAGTTAATAATTGAATAACTAAATAAAACAATTAAAAATTCATCAACTAAATTAAAATTGGAGGCAAAATCCAGGCATCAATTATAATTTTTTTTTCCTAATTTTTTTGGATATACCATAATTTTTTAAAAAATCCTACATAACTCAAATGAAACCTAAATAGACACACAAAAAGGAAAATACTATGCTTGCCAACAAATTTTATCAAATTTTTCATACCAAATAATACGGCACAATCTCCGTAATTGAATATCTGATGATAAAAAATTATGCGACATCAATTAAGATGGAGATTTAATAAAAAAATTTGATAAACATTAAATTACCCCACAAAAATTATAAACTTCAGTACTATGATTGTGCCTCTGCGCCTTTTCTTTCAATTTCAGGAACTAGATTTTCAGCAGAATAGCATTATGACTGTACTGTTCACCCTTCTTCGGACTTCCCCGACAAACATCATGCTTGACTCTTACACAAGCAACATGCCATATTTTTTTTTTAACTAATTTATCCTATGTTGATTTTAGGGATATGCGAAAAAAAAGAAAAAGAAAAAAAATTCACAGCATCAAAAGAAATTATTCAATAAATAAATTAAAAATTGGTAACCCGTACTGAACATGGATCAATTAGGGAAGTTTGAGGACTAATTGTAGTTTGAAAGTTGGAGCACCCAAACCCCATAGGTAAGACTGTCCATGAGTCGGATCAGCCCGTGGTGGCCCACAACCCACCCCAGAAAGCCCGCCCATCTCAGGCCTGTGCTGAGTACAAATGGGCCAAGTGACCATCCCAAAAAATTGTCAGATAAATAATCTTCAGAGTTATTTGTATTAAAAATAATTTAAATTTTTACATATGTAATAAGTTATAAATTAATAGGTCCTAGGTTATAAATTCAATTTTAAGTTATACATTATGAATGACAATCAACAAGTTCTACTCAATTAACAACTAACAAGAGAAATTTTGATCATTGCATTTTTTAAATTGAATTTAAACCACAACCTTTGTTCCTCTGTAAACTCACTTGTACCTCATAAACGCTAATGCACCAGTTGATAGGACAGTTTCCATAATCTAAACATGTGCACATTGTGTAGTAGGATCAACTAAGGACAAACCCTTCGATGGCTATTAAGAACATAGAGGTTTAAGCAAAGAAACTAAGGGGTGTTTGATTTTCTTCTACAAAATTATTTTTTGTTCTCAAAGTTTTAAAAACATTTAAAACATGTTTTATTAGCATTTTTGTTCTCAATTTTTTTTTTAAAAAAAATGAGATTTAGAGCAAAAAGATAGAAAACATTGTTGACTTAGTTTTTGAGTTTTCAGGTTAAAATAGAAAACAACGGAAAGAGTCTCTCATCTTTAATAAGGTTCATCCGTCAAACTTCTTTAACATCAAAATATTTTTTTGTTGAAGTATAAAAGCCATTCACTTGGGGCATGTTCTCTCTCTGCAACGACACTATGCAACGAAGACCGGAGCCAGGGGGATTGCGGCTTTGTCACGAGAGTTTCTCTCTCCACTTCAACAAATCCAAACGAACCAACACTTCGGTGGTAATTGTGGGTTTCGGTGGTGCTTTTGTGAGTTTTGGTGTTGGTTGTGTTTTTTGTGGTTATGAGTTTGGTGAATGAGTTTGTGGGTATCTGTGGTGGTTGTGCTGGGATGTCTTCAATGGTGCTTGTGCTGGGTTGTCTTCAGTGGTGGTTTCTGTGGTTATGAGTTTAGTGGTGGTTTTGGGTTTTTGTGGTTATGAGTTTGGTGGTGGTTGTGGGTTTCTATGGTTACGAGTTTGATTCAAATAAATTTTATAATTTTTGTTTTTTAAAACTATTTTCAAAAATATATAATCAAACAGGTTTTACAATCTAAAAATTTTTAAAAACACTTTCTTAAAATTTTTATCAAAAATAGTTTTCAGATATTATTTTTTGAAATAGAAACCAAACGTACGCTAAGTTTTTCAAAACAACCATGAAATGAATATTTGCAAATCAGCTTGTTACCTAAAGAAACTTAGACCATTACAAATATATACATGTACATGCTCAACTCAACAAAGCCTGAGTTGAGTATGTACATCTTACATACATGAGCAAAAAGATATTGTATCAAAAGCCTTGATGCCTAATAGCTATTACAAATTTACAGCCCAGCAACAAAGTTCATTGTTCAGTGTCAAGGATCTTTGATTTGAAGCCTGCCCAACTAGCCTCCACTTGAGCAATATCTGAATCAGCCAGCTCCTTCATCTGCTCCAAGGCAGGAAACTCAGCTTCCATGTTCTCTAAAACAGCAGATTTCGTGAAGCAGGCCTTTGCCAAGGCTACTTCTTGTTCCTCGATGGCCTTCTTTTTTATCTTTGCCTCCTTTTGGCTTACTTTCAACTCCTTAATTTGATCCTTGATGGAACCTATTGTACCAGCAAGTTTCTCGAGCTGGTTCCTAAGATTGGTGTATGTGTCCCGTCCTTTGGCAAGCTCATCAATTAAGACTACTTTCTTGGCAGCCTTCTTATAATACTTTTCTTGGTCATCCTTTGCTCGTTGAAATGTAGAGGAGAGAGAAGGAAGACTTCTCTTTAGTTTCTCCAAGGCAAGGGCCCTGCCAATGGTAAGATTTGGTGATGCAGCATATACTGACAGGGCAGCGCTTAGAGTTGAATGGTTTTCAAGGAGAAGCACGTCTTGGAAAGGCATCACAAGTAACTTCTCAACATCCTCTTTGGCTTTCGCAAGCACGTCAACTGAGGGTGAGGACTTTCTTACTGCAGCAGACTTGATATTAGTGCAAGAGGATCCACCCATAGCAGAGCTCAGAGACTGAGCCCTTTTGATTTGCCCCGTGACACGAGCAAAGAAATCTTCAACATTGTTCATATTGATAGGATCCTCAGCTGAGTCCCTAGGGGCAGAGATCTTGTCTCCAATCTTAACCGAGGATGGGGAAGGTGAGATTGGTTCAGCCTATTGAGAGAGTATCTATGAAGCTTCAAGTGGAAATAAAGGCAAAATAGGATAAAGGAAGCATATAAGGCAAATTTACTTCATCAGAAGAATAGGACGAGTCTGAGGAAGACGTGTTAACATCCACCACTTGAACATTCATGTCAACCTTCTCTTGACCATTGGGTTTGCTAGGAGTCCAACTAGCAAGAACTGCAGCAGAGGATTTTACGACAGTTGTGGCTGATGGTGACTTGTTGCCAATAGAAGTTTTGACGGCCTCCTAAAAGGCACAAATTCAGGTGATGAGTTACAAGTTGCACTTGTTATTGGCCAAAGCATAGACTGCAACTCTACAGTTTTGGCTTGAGGAATATGATTATACCTTTCTGAAAGGCTGCTCATCTTTCTCAGGTGAGTTCTCCAGCTCATCAGACTCCTCTTGAGGTATGAAGGCTTGTGGAGTGATTGAGTTTACTGCAAGGAGAATATAAGTTAACATATAGGAGGTGTAGAAGGTAACAAAAGAGAGACTGAAGTATCTTTCTTAGGGCAAGTGACAATCAAATCAACTTGCCCAACACATTCCTTTGTGCGTAGTAATAAATATTGTATATTGGACACTATCATTATCTTTCTTCTTGTTCACCGTATTGGAAATCCTAACGGTATCAACTACTAACCAACTCTATGGTGGCATATGTGGAATAGGCCATCTAGAGAGGATACCCCAAGCTCTTAGAGGTCCTACACCTCCGCTCCTTATATCCTTCTCCAAATGTGTGAAGGCTAGAATTTTGCTAAGCCTTTTTCTTTCATGCCATGGCTTCCTAATGTTAGCCTCCACAACTTCAAAGTTATGGGGCCTCTACTTGATCAAACAGTGTCGTCATATATATTCAAAATACCTGCATAATCAACCATACCTTTTTGTGTCACCTTCCTCTTCTTCATGACATTCTCCCCTGCTGTCTCTGAAACATGATTTGAATTGGCAAATTGAGAAGCAATCAGTCTCCTCTTAGCAGATGAAAGGAGAGGGGCAGCAACTGAGGACATCCTTTTAAGGATATCATCAACCAATTCTCCTCGGGTATCAGCTATATAGCGCGACCACCATGACTCAAAGAACTCAGTAGACTTAGGATTTATGTCAAAGGTGACAAACGTGAACTTTCTTTTCAATTGGTGAAACATAGACATGATTTCTTGGATCCTATCAACCGAATGGAAAATGACCCTTTCGGTTAAAGAAACGTTGGCTGTTCGGTAAGGGGGAGTTGGGATCGCCTGAGTCAACCCAAACTGTCGAGCAAATTGATTTGGAGCATAATATTCTACGCCACACTTGCAGTTTAAGTTCTTGTTCACTACAGGGCAATAATGGATGTCCAGGGCAATCAGGTAACTAGCCCAGATGTCCTGTTTTCTGTCAGACTTTGGAAAGGAAGGATCAAGGGACCTCTTGAACCACCCGGGGCCAAAAGTCCTAGAAGAAAATGGGGTGAACTGGAGAGAAGTTCTAGAGGAACATGAGAGAAAAAATCGGAAGCATTCATCAAAGCTTTTGGGTCTTAGCTCACCTAAGGCCAAAGGAAACCCATAGGTGGGAGCGTCAGGGCAGTGATGTGTGAGAGGTCTATACTCGGGGAAGTATGATTGGAGCCAAAGTTGCAATATCCAGAAGGGCTCCCCCGCATGACCAAACTTGCTTATAGTGATGTCTCTACAGCTGTGGTATAAATGGGACAATACAAAGGGAGCTAATGCAAGCTTCCGGCCAGCAGCAAGCACAATAGCCAATTGGGTATATTCTTTGGTCATGTTTACAGAAGCACTACAGAATAAGTATTTGCAGAGCCACATAGCCAGAAAAGAAATATGCTCATGATTGGTCACATCTGATACTCCCATGGAGGCATCAAGAAACTTCCCATAGCCCACGACATATTTACCTTCCTCACTTCTGGGGAACATGTAGATAGTTTCAGGGTCATATATAAGGCCACTAACTTCCTCCCCATGGGGTCTAAGTCCAGTCAAGGCAACTACATCCAACACAGTGGGACCCATCATGCCAAACCTAAAGTGGAAGGAGTTGTTTGAGGTCGACCAAAAGCACAAGGCAGCATAAAGAAGATTTTTGTCCATGGGGATGTGAATTCTAGAGAGCTAAATGGCTTCATATATGCCAGCTGATTTCCATAATTCTCCTTTGCCCCTCTCAACCCGATCAACCCAATCAGTCCATGCTTTGTTAACAGTGGGCCATGTCTTAAGAGTCTTGGATCTGGACAAGTCAGGTCCAGATAAGTGCAGCAGAAGCTTTTCTCCTTTAACTAGGGGATAAAAAGAGGTGAGCTTTGAAGGAAATTCAGTCCTAAAGCAAGGACCTAACATAAATTCAGATGGGGACGCAGGACTAGGAACAAATACATCATCAACAACCCCCTTTGGTTCCAAATCTAGCATTTCTTGTAACATTGTCAATGGAAACAGCAGTGCACAAGTGACAAAGATTGAGAATTTCCTGCATCCATGAAGTTTGATGAAGAGAAAGTGAAGAAAAGATGAACTCAGGTGAATGGAATAAGTGAAAGACTGCAGATGCTGGAAGAACCTCCAAACTGTAAAAAAATATGGTTTAAACTGTGCAGAGGTACAAAAGAAGTTCTATATGGTTTCAAATTGTTGGAAATGGTGGTTGAAAGCTTGACAGAACAATTAGTCCTTGAAGAAGATCCAAAATTTCAGCCACTGAGGAGATCCAAAGCCCCTTAAGAGGAAGCCTAACTAGGGATTGCTGAAGCTGTTCAACAAGAATCAAGCAGCAGATACAAATCAGTGCATTCAGTGGGAAATAAACTGTGCGAAGATCTTGAACATGAGGCAGCTGATAAAAAACTTGCAAATACCAGAAAATGAGAGCTATCATAGACCCAAAAAACCCTAAACTACATATTCCTTATTTCCTTACTCTGCACCACTTTCTTCCATATGAGTTGACTTGAGTTTTAGTTTTTGTTTTCCATGCCCTTTTTCAGCTGGTACTTCCCATTACCACTAGGAATAACTGTGCAGCGTGTTAGTTTGATATATAAGATGTTACATAACATCTTTGAAAATAGGAATGCATATACATTATTGAAACAGTTGTAAGCTTTAATGTCACTTGCTGTTAAGTCCTTTCAGCTCCATTTGCTTTCTTCATACATTTCTAAAGCCAACTACTTCAGCTTGTTCCTACACTTCGATTGGATGGAGTGATTTGCAGAGACAAAAAAAAGGAGAGGAAAGTTACATCGTCTCTCGAAGATTTTTCGAAGGGAGCAAAAGGAAACAAAATGGGCATATTTGGGAATCCTTTGACCCATTTTTTCTTTCAAGTGCAAAATCTTATGCTTTGTTTGATAAGATGGAAAGTTGGAAATATAGAAAATTAAAAGGATAGATAAAACATTATGTTTGATAGAGAAGAAAAATAGGAAGAATATAAAAGTGAATGAATTAACTTTTCTTACAACTAATCAAAATCAATCCCTTCAAAATTGGGAGAAAAAGTAGATGAAAAACAAATTTTGTGTATTGAAATATATGTTATTTACCTATATTTTCTTTAATATGTATATATCATATTTATTTATTATATAGCATAAATTTTATTGGCACCCCCTCAAGATTAGCCTAATTGCAAGGACACCCCCTATGGTTTCTGAAATATCACTGTCACCCCCTATCAGATTACGTCAATTAACAGGCTAAACAGATATGCGATTTTATTGAACTACCCTTCAAGGCATCAACCCTATTGTTTACCTTTGACCCCCTATAATTTTTGAATTACCCTACACACACCTTAATTTAATTTAGAATTTAGGTTCATCAAATTAACATCAAATTGACATTTAATATCATTAACTCAAATATTAATTTCATCACACTAACATTAATTTCATCAAATTAACATTTAATTTATTTGAAATTGAACTTTTTTTGCATCAAATTGACATTTAACTTCACTAATTCAAAAATTAATTTCATCACACTATAATAATTTCATCAATTTATATTTAATTTCTTAAAATTAATATTTTAAAATTTAATTTCGTCAAATTAACATTCAATTTATTTAATTTAGAATTTAGTTTCATCAAAGAAAATTAAATTGATGAAATTAACGTTCTGAAGTTCAATTTAGTATTAATTTGATAAAATTAAATTTTAAAATATTAATTTTATGAAATTGAATATGAATTTGATGAAATTAAATATTAATTTAGTGTTAAATTGATAAAATTAGTATTAGTATGATGAAATGAATATTTCAATTAATGAAATTAAATCTCAATTGATGAATAAAATTGAAGAGTCAACTTAAGGGTAAAATTGGTAGTTCACTGTAATATATTCGATGATATCACTGATTCTGGTGGATGTTATTAACGCCAATGACTGTAAGGGTATTATGTGAAACTCATGATAAATTACAAGGGTGTGAATGACATTTCAAAAACCATAAGGGATATCCCTATAATTAAGTCAATTTCAAGAGGGTGTCAGTGAAATTTATACTATTACATATCATATATACATTAATTTTATATATAGATATAATAAAAAAATATATATTTATATTTTTTCATTCATCCACTTTTCCACCCTACTAAACACAAAAAATTCAACCCTTTCTACTTTATATCCCTCCCAAGTCCTACCAAACACAAAAGAGTGAAGGTAGAATTCATACCTTGATGATACACTTTCTATCCTTCCATTTATTCATCCCTTACCAAACACACCATTAAGAGAGACAAAAACTAGTTTGTAATTACTGATTTGGCTTTGGGATTTTTTTTTTTTTTCTAATGTGATTTTTCTTCGGTGAGTGAGAAAAATCAAACATATTGAAAACATACAATTTTCTGATTACAACCACACAAACACATTACACAGCTAAAATGTGAAAAAAAAGAAAGAAAAGAAATGCAGTAACGAAGAGTACATTCAGTGATAAAGCAACACAGATAAAAATAAAAAATAACAGAAAAAATAAAAAATAAAAGTCACACCTTTGATCATTGCAGACAAACTAGGCACAATGGCCTGGATATATATTGGAAGAACAAAACCAACATTTCTCTAAACACATTGTGTACCTGGGACACTGCGAAATCCATATTTTGAGAGGAAAGACAACGGAAGAGCTAAAGAAAATCAGAAAAAAAGTTACCTTCGTAGAATCTTTAGTGCCCCTTTCTATGTTCTTCAAGAACTTAACCTCTTTTTCACTGATTAGGGTTCTTGTCGCTGAAGACTGAGAGAGAAGATGAAGAGGTTTTGGACTTTGTGTCGTACTTTTCAGTCCTTCGGTTTTTACGGTATGTTCGTATATAGATGGGCTCGATTGGGCTTAGATAGAAATTGGGTTAGCCGAAGTTGTATAGGGCGAGCACGGCCCAGAATGGGGCTACCAAATCCCTTCACAAGGGAATATTGGAAGTCGGTTCCCTTACACTTCAAGCATGCGTTTTGATCGCTCAAACGTCGGTTTCCTTAAACGCCACTCACCACTCCCTGAATTAACGCAAAAAATGGGGACCACTCTCCCTTAAAACACGAATGTCGGATAGGCTTCTAAACGGATTTCACATAGATTCGTTTATTTGAATTTCCAAAAAACAATCACATTAATTTTGTTACTCCATATTTTTTTCGAAATCATTTGCTTCAGTCACTGAACAAACCAGCATTAGGTATATAATCTTCAACCCTAATCCTAACTCTAACCCTACCGCAGGTGGAAAAATTCAACCCGAGCACTGTCCGAGTTTAATTTGGGCGAGCTCGTGTTGAATTCGAGTTAATGATTTTGGGTTAATTTACGGGTTCAATTCGAGTAGAGCCCAAAATATACTTGTTGTTCTACACCTAATACATATATTACATAATTTTTACCTAAATTAACAATTAATAACTTCAACTAAATTTTTAACAGTGCTAATGCTAGAACAAAAATGAAAATGAACGAGAGAGACAGAAAATGATAGAATAAAAATAAAAAACTAGTGCTAATGTTATATATATATATATAATTTTTTTTAATTTGTCAGATTAGGGTTGAACCCGAGGTCTTAACCCGAGCCCAACCCAAATTGAATTCGGGTAGGGATTTTTGACCCAAACCCAACCAAAGTATTAAAAACCCTTACACAAGTCCTAATTTTTTTGGATTGAGCTCGGATTGAAATCGGGCTGCCCAACTCAAGTTGCACCCTTAACCAGAATAGTTGATCACGCCGAAATAGTCCCTTCACCACCATTACTAGAATAGTCGATCACGCCATTGATTTCGCACATTTAAATTTTTGAATCAAAACATGATTTTCGAAAATCATGATTTTCAACATTCAATGATGTTAAATTTTGTGATCTTTAAATAACAAATTTAATTAACTTTTTTTAATATGTTGTCACCTTATTTTTGATTTAACTTATCACATTGTTTTATGTTATATTATTTTTGAGTAACTTGTCACATTGTTTAATATGTTGTTATATTGTTTTTGAGTACTTAGACACATTTTTTTAATATCTTGTCACATTATTTTTAAGTAACTTGTCACATGGTTTAATGTGTTGTTACGTTGCCTATGGATAACTTGTCACGTAGATTTTTATGTTGTTACATTATTTTAGAATAACTTGTCACATTAATTTTTTTTGTTGTTGTTTCATTATTTTTCATTGATTTGCTGCATTGATGTTGGTTCATTGTGATGTGAACCCCAATCAACTTGCTTTGAGACCCAACAACAATATTGGAAATACAACCCAAGAAAGCTAAATTCAAGTCTATGGATGGAGAATTTACACCCGTTGAGAACTCGTTTCAAGAACCTAGATTATATTAAAATCTACACCCGTTGAAGAACCTTCCTCAAGAACCCAGATTACAAGGAGGAACACCACAAAGGTTGTGATTTACCTTTGATAAGTTTAAAAATTCAATCAAAAACAAGAGGAGTAAACTCAACTCAACTCACAATCAAAATTCATTATATATTGTCTCCCCTATTTCATTGATAAAACATCTATTAATAGGCTGACCATTACAAGGATTAGGAAACTTCCTAAAATAGCTATCATATTTAAGAAATATCTCTTAATTGTTGGTAAAAAAATATCTCTTACTTTCCTAAAACTCTTGAAGAAAAAGAAAGACATTCAGCCATTTAATTGGCTAATCACATGCCTAAATAGAAAAAGGAAAGTACTTGGCATACAAGCCTTACAATTAGACCCTAAAAAGAGTGAATAGTGCACAGTTATTGTAGCGTGAATAGTGCGCCGCTACAGTAACTACAAAACCCTAGTTCATAAGAAATAAAACATGTGTGGGCTAAGCATCCTCAAACCCACTTATTCTAAACTAATAATAAAAATTCCTTAAACAAATTGAAAGTTTTAACAACAAAAGCCCCTAT